AAACAGCAGAATCCATCTGTTGTCCAGTTGCTGGCACAAGAAGACACCTAAAATAAAATAAGAAGGACTGGCCTCCCACTTAGAGGTCGTTTAGGTCATAAAACACATGGTTTTAGAATGTCATGTATTTATAAATACAACAACTTGAAGTATGGTTGTTTTTTTATTGATGGTGGGAAAAAGGGGAGGTCTGCTATGGGTTTGTTTTGGCATTGGTTTGCTTCTAGTTGAATCCATTGGTTATGCTTTTGATTATGTATCCAGATGTATGGGTATTGTAGCTGTGTTGCATAGAAGTATTGATGACAATTTGGAGCTTCAAGTCCGCCGTGTCATTTTGTAAAGTTGCCAGTGATATTTGGGGTGGTTTGTTTTTTCAGTAAAAATGAGTTTTTATAGAATTTAGTGATATGAACCAGTTGCTGTGGGGGTTATAGTGATCATTGTGTACTGACCATTTGTATATAAATGTGTAATTTGGGATAGGATTTTTTCCTTCTTCATCCAAGATAGCGCCTCGTACGGTCACCACGGCTCTTTGCTGCTCTCTTTTTCTTTTGTTTTTACTTTTTTAACTGTGCATCTGGCTATTCATACACCCGTGAGGAACTTATGAACATCCGACCCACCGTTGTATTGTATGTATTCCTTAGAAGTGTTTTTTATTCTTTATTTTTTATTATCTCTTTCTGACTGTTGCACTGAGCCAAAGCAATTTCCAAGTCTGTGACATACTTACGAGGCAAAAAAAATGATTGTCATTCTGATTCTGATTTTCATTTTAACTGCGTCTATTCGGCCAATCAGAGGTAATAGGAGTTTTTTCCAGGTTTTTATAGTGTTGTCAATTCTTTTTAATAAGGCAGTACAGTTGAGATGAAAGAGCTCTGACAGCGAGGAAATAGTGATACCCAAACATTTTGTGTTACCCACGTGTAGGAAGGGTAGAGTCTTGAGTGGCAGAGTCCCATGAATGCGGAGTTAGGGGGAGTATTGTGGATTTAGTCCAGAAGTTATTAATAATGGTGAATGTTTCTTTTATGGATGTTTGTGGTTTTTCTATGTATAGAAGGAGGTTGTCGGCATACAGGCTAATTTAATGATTTGTACCACCATTATGAATTCCGCATATATTTAAATTGTTTCTTATTGCTACAGCCAGGGGTTCAATGAATAAGGCGATGAGAGAATGAGAGAGTGGGCATCCCTGTCTAGTTCCTTGGTGCAGTGTGAAGTGTCTGAATCCAGTGGATGAACAACTTTCCAAACCCGAATCTTTGTAGTGTATTGACGAGGAAATGCCAATTGACCTTGTCAAATGCCTTTTCTGCATCTAAAGAAAATGTAACCGTTTTATTTTTTGTTTGTTGTGCAATATTGACTAGGTTGAAATGTGTGTCTGTTTTTTATTAATCCTGTTTGGTTTGGATGAATGAGCGAGGGCATAACCATTTCTAGTCTTGTGGCGAGTGTTTTGGTTATGAGTTTGAGGTCTGCGTTGATTAATGACAGTGGGCGATAACTGGAGGGGTCTGTTAGGTCTTTATTTGGTGTAATAACTGCTGTGTTCATGTGAGGTGATATTTTGGAGGTTGTTTTAATTTCTGATATGACTTACAGTACATTAATTCCTACTGACCAAGGCCGAAGATAATCAGGTCCCACCAGAACAACATTTGCAGCTACTAGCTCGGATCCCCCCCTCCCCGCTCTCCCCCTACCTCTCCATCTTCTCCTCTCCCTCCCTCCCTTTCACTCCTTACTATCTTTCCGGCTTACCCCCTTCCCTGTCCCCGCCCCCTCTGACAGCCACATTGGCCAGGCGGCAGGAGGTGCTTATTCCAAGAAAAAAATCCGTGTTTTACACAAAGCACACTGTGTCTATTCAATTGTCTGTGAAACTGTGTGTTATTGCTCTCTGCTGTTTCTTGCTTGCACACAGCGCCGCAAATGGCGAAGTGGCACGCTCTCTGCCAAAACAATTTCCAAGTGGTAACTTTTGTTTGTGGGGGCGACAGTAGCTCAGTTGGTAGAGCATTGGCCTTAAGGCCAGAAGGTCGTGGGTTCAATTCCCACCTCTGCACCTTCTCCACCGACTCCCACTGATGACTGCTGTCGTTGTGTCCTTGGGCAAGACACTTAACCCCACTTTGCCCAAGATCAAGGCTATGCTCACACTCAGAGCAGCCGTCCTCCTGTGGACTCACCACCTGCAGAGGGTCAGTGAGGGGCTGGTGCTATGAGACTTGGGTGGCATCTCTGACTGCCACCCCCCTGACCCAGAAATGGATTAAAGGGTAGAAAATGGATGGATGGAACTTTTGTTTGTTACTTACGTGGCAATAAAAATGATTCTGATTCTGATTAAGAGGAGATAGAATGTCCCAGAAATGTTTATAATATTCTGCTGGGAATCCGTCTGGTCCTGGTGACTTATTTTTTGGCATTTTGCTTAAGGCTTTATGTATTTCGTTTGAGGTGAATTGTGTTTCTAATATATTTGCTTGTTGTGATGTAGGTTAATATTAGATAGAAAATTATTTATTGCGGATGTGTCAAGTGTGTTGTCACGTGAACATAATTTATTGTAATATTGCTGGAAAATATTGTTTATTTCTTGTGGATCACGTGTTATGGTGCCGGAATTATCTTGAATTGATGTAATGATTGCTTTCTCTCTTTTGTGATGTGGAAGATTTGGTAACAGTTTACTATTTTTGTTGTTATAATGAAATTGCTCATATTTTTAGTGTAACTATATCATTGATCTGTTCTTTGGCTTCATTAATTTCCTTTAGTGTTTGTTCATCTTGATTTGTGGAGTATTGTTGAGCTGATAGTTTATTTTTTTGTTCCAGAGTGTCTTCCAGGATTTTTTGTTTCCGTTTTTTGTGTGATGAATAAGATATTATTGTTCCATGGATGACTGTTTTTCCTGTTTCCCAGAGGAGTGATGGAGAGATGTCTGGAGAGTCGTTGACCTCCAGAAAAGATGCCCACTCTCTCCGAATGAGTGCGGAGAAGTCTGTGTCCTCTAGGAGAGATGTTCTCCTATCTTGAGTGGGATTTGGGGATTTTACTTGTTTGTGTGGATGTATTGTGTTTTCTATTGTGTATTTGGTTATTGATTTGCTAATTAGAAACAGGTCCAGTCTGGAGAAAGTTCTGTGATGTGGAGAAAAGTAAGTATAATCCTGTCTTGTAGGATTTCTCATTCTCTAACCATCATTAAGTCCATAATTCTGCATATGTTTGAATGAGACGAGAACCAGAAAGTATGATCACATTAGTCCAGTCCTCAGGTCTCTGCACTGGCTTCCTGGGGCTCAGAGAATAGACTTCAAGGCAGCGGCTGCTTGTGTACAAGTCTCTCCATGGCCTCGGACCAAAATACATTAGTGACATGTTAATCCCATATGAACCAGCCCAGAGCACAGGCACTGGACTCCTGCTCGTGCCCTGAGTCAGAACTAAACATGGGGAGGCTGCATTTCAGATTCATGCTCAAATCTGGAACAATTGTGCTACACAAATAAACTTGCCTTGCCTTGCCTTTGTAACGACTGTGTGAAGGTGTGTCTTATCTTCTTAAAAAGGACTAGCCTGTTTTAAGGAAACATGTTCTGGGAATAGTCCAAGCTGAGCTGTGCTGTTCTCTAAAGACTTGTCTCCTTGGAAAGGCAACCAAGTAATAAAGAATGCCTGAACTATATCTTTTTGTGTGATTTTGTCGGGTAGAACTGTAGGTTAATACAGCATTAACATATTCCTTCCATTCTTCTTTTATATTCTATATGAGTCATTATGGAGGGAAACATTCAACTATTGTTTTGAGTTGTTCTTTTTATCAAGGGCCAGTGAAAGGACGAGCGGAGCATGATCAGAGATAGTTACATAACATACAGTATCTATTTGTGCATAACTACCATATACTTGCGAGAAAAAAGTATAGTCCCGTTCTTTAGGGTGCTTGTGTCGCTAAACATCTATAAAACCAATCTCTTCCATCATATTCTGTCTTGTTTTTCTTGGTATTGGTATTCTCAAAAAATCCCCACCTACTATGAGCAATCCCTCTGCGAGCAATGTAAAAACCACTGAAATGTCTTTGAAAAAGCGTTACATCTTCATTTGGGGCATTCTGTCCTGTCCTGCATTTAATAATGATATTTAACGTTGTTGCAAGTTGTCAGTATAAAGCTAAATAATTTTAAATTCTGAGGCAAGACCAAAAAATAAAAACAAAAAGCGCTTTATTGACAAAAATACAAGTGTACAAAATAATTAATAAATAACAACATGTGACATGGCTTAAAAACAAACACTAATAGAATACAAAAATATATGTATTATTCCTCACTTTATTGCCCATATTTATTCTTCCTGTCACTTAATTGCCCATAATTGTTTTTCCTGTAACTTTATTACCCATATTTGTCTTTCCTGTCCCTTTATTGCCCATATACAGTACAGACCAAAAGTTTGTTTTTATCTTCATGACTATCAAAATTGTAGATTCATACTGAAGGCCTCAAAACTATGAATTAACTCATGTGGAATTATTTACATACCTAAAAAAAAAGTAGGAAACAACTGAAAATTTGTCTTATATTCTGGGTTCCTCAAAGTAGCACTTCTTGCTCTGATTACTGCTTTGCACACTCTTGGCATTGATGAGCTTCTTAGAGGTAGTGACCTGAAATGGTCTTCCAACAGTCTTGAAAGAGTTCCCAGAGATGCTCAGCACTTGTTGGCTCTTTCGGCTTCACTCTGTGGTCCAGCTCACCCCAAAATCATCTGGATTGGGTTCAGGTCCAGTGACTGTGGACCTGATTGGTCAAACAGCCCTTACACAACCTGGGTGTGAATCTACAGTCAATAGTCATGAAAAGAAAGGACACTTATTGAATGAGAAAGTGTGTGAAAACTTTTGGTCTGTACTGTATGTCCGTCGTGTCACTTCATTGACCACATTGTCCTTCATGTAACTTCCTGTGTCACTACAATATGGTGATCTCTGTCTCCAGGTTCCTGTAGGCCTCCTCCTGCAGCTCACAGTCGATCTGGTCCATCCTCTGAAACGCAGTATGGCCCTTTTTACCTGCACACACAACAATAAGTATACTTAAAAGAGACACAATTTATATTTCTTTAAATACAAAAATAAAACTTTAGAACAGCCTGGAGGGGTATTATAAACATCAGCAGAAAACCTGTCATTTAAAAACAGATTTTCTGTCTTAATGACATTATGATGTTAGTGCATGGGCACGTTCCTACCCCCTTAGGAGATAACCATTTCAACGAGGTTGCCTTTATCAGTGAAAACTTGCTGTAAAATCACTGGGGGAAAACTTCAAGACATTCATTCTTTATGGAAGGAACTGGTGCTGAAGAAAGCAAGGTGTATTTTGGCTCAGCCCAAACATCCTCTCATCGCTGATTTTGTCACAATACTTTTGGGCCTTGTTTTAATGCTCCAGCTCAGGAAAAAAAAATGTTTGTGCCCTCTGCTATATGGAACACTGGATGAAAAACACTGCTTTGGATGAAGCATTTTTACTGTTTACTTTTGAATCCGCTGGAAACTGCAGTATGTCCTAAGTAGCTCTGAAACAGTGGTTGTTTTGGGTTTCACAAATGTTATTTTTCCTGCTTTTTACAACCTGAGATGTTCCTGCAGTACAGTGTTCATGGTTTTGCAGTGGGCCAGACCAGAGCAGAGAGGATTCATGGTCCGAACCAAGGGGATCAGCTGAAAATACACTGGAGGAATGCTAACTTTTTAAAAAAGGCTATGAAGCATTCAGTATTTTAATTTGGACTTGAGCAGAGAAAATGGTCCGAACCAACCGGCTACTCCGCCTCTGCTGCTGTGACTTGTCCTGCTCCACCCAGCAGATGGCCCACCTCTGCTGCTGTGACTCGTCTTGCTCCACCCAGCGACTACACCACCTCTGCTGCTGTGACCTGAAGTGCTGTTGCATTTTATAATTACTATTGTTAGCTTTTTAGAGTGACCAATTTATTTGTTTTGTTAGTGTGGATGGATGTGTTTTTGCTGCTACTGGACACCTGAAGCTCTCCTACGGGGATCAATAAAGTATCTATCTATCCATCTATTTTGAGCCCATTGGTAGGGGGTGACAGTGGCTCAGTTGGTAGAGCACTGGCCTTTGGGCCTGAATGTTGTGGGTTCGAGCCCATCACGAGACCTAACTCCCAATGATGACTGCTTTTGTTGTGTCCTTGGGCAAGACACTTAACCCCAATTTGCCTGAAGCCCCCACTGAAAGATCTCCTGTGGACTCACCACCTGCAGGAGGATCAGTGAGGGGCTGGTGCTCTGTGTACTGACTGCCACCCCCTGACCCAGAAATGGATTAAGGGGAAGATAATGGATGGATGGATGGTAAAATGCCAGAGGTGGCAGAGGTGTTTAAAGTGTTTTTGTCATCGCCACAGTAACACAATTAAAAATAAGTCATGGTTGTCATTGACTTTTTGGATCAGGTTGCCATCCATCCATTTTCATCCCCTTTATCCATTTCTGGGTCAGCGGGTTTGCAATCAGTGCTGCCACCCAATTCACAGAGCACCAGCCCCTCACTGATCCTCCTGCAGGTGGGGAGTCCACAGGAGGACGGCTGCACCGTCTGCAATGACTCAGCCATGGTCTCTCAGCTGGGGCTTCAGGCAATATGGGATAAAATGTCTTGCCCAAGGACACAACCACAGCAGACATCAGCGGGAGTAGGTGGAGTAGGTCTTGTGGGGGCAAATGAAAATCAGGAGGAAAAATCTGGATAAAAAATCTGAAAACATCTTTCGGAAAAGTTTCTAGGTTTTCATGGCACAGCATTTCAGGCAGATATACGTCAGGGATCATCAATCCCCTCCACATCTTGGGGTCACCGACCCCCTCCATAGGAGGTTGAAGTTGTGGCAAAAGTTAAAAGCAAATACGTAACATTTATATAAGAGGGGTAATAGGCTCTGTGCACAGAACATAAACCACTTTCTGGTTTATGTTTTTGTGCGAGCACTTCCTGTTTCGGGCTTGTGCTATGTTTTTCACTAACACAATGCAGCTCTTTAACACCCATTGGGTATTCTCGGCGTATTCTCATCTCTCCTGGGGCAGAAGAGAAAAAAAATAAAATAAAAATGGAACAAAAAGGTATCACGCTACGAGACAAACCAAGAAGAGGGACTGTGCACAGAGCCTATATTCACCAAAAGACAGGACTGTCTCCCGGGCTGCACCGCGTACGTCTTCATTGGCTGACCGCCACAGTTCTGCAATGTAGTCCACACTCTCTGATGCCTAAACATGAATACAAATGGGTTTGGATCATGTTCAACTAAAAACAACATTTGAAAAAGTTCTTTATAATTGAAGATATACCTTGAGGCATTTAAGAGCCAGACAGGAGAACTGCTGGACCTGTGTGTTGGAGCTCTTCAGACTCTCAGTGAAGTAAACCACTGCCTAGAAACAACAGGGACAAAATCATTATCAGAGGACTTTCTGAAATGCACACAACACACATATATTTTCGCTGGTCAAAGTTCATGGTAATTGTAAGCTCTAAAGCTTACAACACACAAAGCTGTAACTCTACACTGAGGTTGGTGATTGTTGAGGCTCTGACTTCAACCCCAATCAGATAAACATACAGTGGGGCAAAAAAGTATTTAGTCAGCCACCAATTGTGCAAGTTCTCCCACTTAAAATAATGACAGAGGTCTGTAATTTTCATCATAGGTACACTTCAACTGTGAGAGACAGAATGTGAAAAAAAATAATCCAGAAATTCACATTGTAGGATTTTTAAAGACTTTATTTGTAAATGATGGTGGAAAATAAGTATTTGGTCAATAACAAAAATTCAACTCAATACTTGGTAATATAAATTTTGTTGGCAATAACAGAGGTCAAACGATTACTATAGGTCTTTACCAGGTTTGCACACACAGTAGCTGGTATTTTGGTCCATTCCTCCATGCAGATCTTCTCGAGAGCAGTGAACACGGACTTTCAACTCCCTCCACAGATTTTCAATGGGGTTGAGGTCTGGAGACTGGCTAGGCCACTCCAGGACTTTCAAATGCTTCTTACGGAGCCACTCCTTCGTTGCCCGGGCGGTGTGTCTCCAGCCACGTTTCACCTTCAAAACTCTCAATGATGGAAGGAGGTTTTAGCTAAAAATCTCACGAGACATGGCCCCATTCATTCTTTCCTTAACACGGATCAGTCGTCCTGTCCCCTTAGCAGAAAAACAGCCCCAAAGCATGACGTTTCCACCCCCATGCTTCACAGTAGGTATGGTGTTCTTGGGATGCAACTCAGTATTCTTCTTCCTCCGAACAAGACGAGTTGAGTTTATACCAAACAGTTCTACTTTGGTTTCATCTGACCACATGACATTCTCGCAATCCTCTGCTGTATCATCCATGTGCTCTCTGGCAAACTTCAGACGGGCCTGGACATGCACTGGCTTCATCAGGGGGACACGTCTGGCATTGCAGGATTTGATTCCCTGTTGAGGTAGTGTGTTACTGATGGTAACCTTTGTTACTCTGGTCCCAGCTCTCTGCAGGTCATTCACCAGGTCCCCCCGTGTGGTTCTGGGATTTTTGATCACCGTTCTCATGATCATTTTGACCCCATGGGATGAGATCTTGCGATCGAGGGAGATTATCAGTGGTCTTGTATGTCTTCAATTTTCTGATAATTGCTCCCACAGTTGATTTGTTCACACCAAGCTGCTTGCCTATTGTAGATTTACTCTTCCCAGTCTGGTGGAGGTCTACAATTCTTTTCCTGGTGTCCTTCCACAGCTGTTTGGTCTTGGCCATAGTGGAGTTTGGAGTCTGACTGTTTCAGGCTGTGGACAGGTGTCTTTTATACAGATAACGGGTTCAAACAGGTGCCATTAATACAGGTAACGAGTGGAGGACAGAAGAGCTTCTTAAAGAAGATGTTACAGGTCTGTGGGAGCCAGAGATCTTCCTTGTTTGAAATGACCAAATACTTATTTTCCATCATAATTTACAAATAAATTCTTTAAAAATTCTACAATGTGAATTCCTGGATTTTTTTTTTCACACTCTGTCTCTCACAGTTAAAGTGTATCTATGATGAAAATTACAGACCTCTGTCATTATTTTAAGTGGGAGAACTGGCACAATGGGTGGCTGACTAAATACTTTTTTGCCCCACTGTATATCATATAAATCAACAGGACCTACAGAGTGGCTTATTCACAATTTGTTTGGCTACAGCAGAATATGTTTCATGCCCGCATTGTTTGTTCATACAAAACGCAAAAGTTTGTAAAAAGCACTTTTCAAAGTGTGTTATGGGCCTTACCTCACTCTAAACATGAACTGCACAGACCACTTCAGTTCGGACCAGTTTCATGTTTAAGCACTGATAATAGTTTTAACGCAGATATGTAATCCTCCATTTAATAATAAGTCCAATGAGTTTTTAAAAGTAAAACAAAACGGGTGTCTCTTCCATACACTCCTCTCATGTTTTGCTAGCTGCAGCCGAGTCTTGGATGCATCCAATTTCTAATATCAACCTTCTTACCCTTCACCTCTCTTCCTTATGATTCCTATCATCATTGGAAGCATAAAATTACCCTAAGTGAATTTTAAATAATCTTACAATCTGTTACATGTATTTTAGCCAAACTTGTAGCTGCCCTTAGCAGAAAAAGAACAAGAAAGGAGCTTTCTGATGGAATCGGATGTAGCCGAATTGTGCGCTCACATGCACCCCCTGGTGTTAGTATTAGATAGCAATATGGCCTACGTGCAGGACTGTACAAGGACTCTGATTATTTTGACTATGATGTGACTGTCTCTGAGTGACACGTACGTCTTTCAATGTGTGACGTGACAATGACTATATAAACTGTGTACTGACTCCATTCTGTCTGAGAGAAAGAAACAGGGGAAACCATTGGAACTTGAGAGAAACTTAAATAAACTTCCAGAGTTTGGCGCACCACGATCCGTCTCTGTCTGCTTCATCCCTGACAGATTTGGTGGAGGATGTGCGGCTCAGTGTGTGCCATTCTCTGGATTGTTTTGAGGGAGTTTCCCTTGTTTTCTTTTTCTCGGCGTGGGAGAGCTGAGAGTATCTGGGGCCTGGGAGCGGGTCAGCAGGCTGGAGAGGCGACCGGCTCCGGGACTCTTTTTCGCTCTCTCACTATATTTTTTTTGTGTCCTGTTTTTTGGACTGACTAAGCGTTTAAAATTGTCCACATTCCGGGGATTTTTGAAAAAGGAACCCCTGACGTATCGGGGTCCCTGTCCTATGAAGTAGTCAGGACAGAGAGAAAAAGGAACCCCTGACGTATCGGGGTCCCTGTCCTATGAAGTAGTCAGGACAGAGAGAAAAAGGAACCCCTGACGTATCGGGGTCCCTGTCCTTTGAAGTAGTCAGGACAGAGAGAAAAAGGAACCCCTGACGTATCGGGGTCCCTGTCCTTTGAAGTAGTCAGGGCAGAGAGAAAAAGGAACCCCTGACGTATCGGGGTCCCTGTCCTTTGAAGTAGTCAGGACAGAGAGAAAAAGGAACCCCTGACGTATCGGGGTCCCTGTCCTTTGAAGTAGTCAGGACAGAGAGAAAAAGGAACCCCTGACGTATCGGGGTCCCTGTCCTTTGAAGTAGTCAGGGCAGAGAGAAAAAGGAACCCCTGACGTATCGGGGTCCCTGTCCTTTGAAGTAGTCAGGGCAGAGAGAAAAAGGAACCCCTTGAAGTAGCGGGGTCCCTGCCTTTGGAGTAGCCGGGGCAGAGAATAGAGAATAGAAAATAGTTAGTGAAACCATGGTGTAAAATTAAAAGTTATAATAAAAAGGGAAACGTTAAACACTAAGAGTGCCTTTTGTTACTAGTGTGGAAAGTGGCCATTTCTGGACTTGGATGACAAAAGTTTAAAGAACATCAGTTATATTCGCTTAAAAAAGTAATCTTGAAAGTTCTTCTTCTTTCTGTTTTTGCATTTTTGCAAAAACACTACTTTCTGCCTGTGTGTGTGCACAGCTCTATCTTGCTGCCGTTGTCAGGGGAAACGGCCCCCTCCTTCGCTGCTCTGGCTCTGAATCAAAACAAACCTGCTTTTAGGATTTTGGCTTTTCATAGTTGTTATTCCGTTAAATTTGCGAAATTTGCCATTGAACATTGGGTTATGACACAGTTAAACGTTTTTAAACACCATTTAGTAAAAATAAGTTTTGAATAGTATGTTTTTCTAAATCCAAAGATTAGTACAAAAAGCTTTGCTTTTCTTTTTAAATCTGCTGCTTATTTTTTTGAGTCCATTATTGTATCTCTGATATATTTCATAGCTGTTTGTGAGAATTTTTTTCATGTATTTTTTATTTTAGTTAAATTAGAATCTGTGTTAAAAGTGATTATTGATTATAGACTTCGTCTAAAAAGAAAGAGGGAATTAGGATTAGCTGTAAAAGTATTATATTGAGTTCTACCCAATTCACCCAATTCACATTGCAAGCGGTGACTTTTTTGTTTTGACTATGCACCTGACCTTGCTGCTGCAGATGCACGCAGCACAGGAGCCTGGTCTGAAATGTGCTCCAAATCATATTGACTTAATTTGAAAAGGCTGCAATTATTTTAAATTAGTAGAATATATGCTGAGATAAATGTTCGAGTGTAAAAGGGAAATTCCATAAAGTGAAACCCAAGGACGCATAGATAATTAAACACACAGTACAAAAGTACACATTTGTTAAAGTTTGAAGGTTTTTTGAGATTTGAGTCTTGTTTTTTATCAAGAGAGTTTCTGGTTTAAAAAAAGTTTCACATTAGTAAGATAATAAGTAATCTTTATTTATATAGCGCATGTGGGAAAGCCAAGAGCGCTCCAAAATTGTTTAGACTTTAGAGAGAAAAACAATCTCATTCACATACTGATATCTGTTGTTTTGAATTTGACTATAAGGTTGTGTTCCAGAACCAAGGGCACACACTGTACAGGGTCACTGGACAGCAGGAGTTGACACTGAGGGATCAGACCACAGGAGCCCAGCAAAGCCCCACCCAGGCACAGGTCACAGATCAAAGAGCAAAGGAAAATGCCACCTCCTTGCCCCTCCCCACGCCACTCCAGAACTGAGTGGGTGTGAGAGAGACCGGGGTCGAGAGAGGTGTCTGGAGACGTGTCTGGAGACGTGATGGGTGTAGCATCAGGGAGAGACCTGGAGGAGTTGAGAGTGTGTCCAGTTGGCTTGCATCTCCACAGTGTGACCTTTGAGACCTACAGGTGGTTCGAGGAGTCTGGAGACACCCCAAAATTCACACCCTACATACACACACACACACATACATACATCTACACACACACACACACACACACACATACACATTTACATATAGATGCATGAAAAAGCAGAACATGAGAAAAAAGCATTTTAAAAGTTTACTCCAATGTAAACACATTTTTAATTGTCTAACTTGAATCAGTATTTTTTGAGACCAGAAATGTTCATTTGAATTCTATATTGTCATGGACTTAATTGGCCTGTCTTGACATTTTTTGTTTTGATTTGTAGATTTTGTACTGTGTGAAGTAATTACATTGATTACATCTGGTAAAAACACAAATTAGAGAAGTAAATTGCGCTTGCTTTTGTCTAAGGGACATTAGCAACAGCATGAATAGAAATTGTCTTTAAAGTAGAATCAAAGTGACTTAACCATAGAAAGTAACTACTGCATAACAAGCTGTGTACAGGAACTGTGACACTGCACCATTGACCAGAAGTGCATCGCAAATGACCTGATGTGCGCTTTAAGTGAAAAGACTGTATCTGGAGATCCGATGTCCAACTGGAGAGACCCAAACCATGGCTTGGACCCTACTGATGTCCAAGATGACATCTCTCGAAATATGACCTGACCTGATGACGACTGAGACTCACCCTCAGGGGACCCTGAGGATCTGAGGACCTTGGAGAGAAAAACTGGGGAGTGATGTTTATATTTTTAAAATCATACATTGATGAGTGCTAAATGAGACAGACACTCATGATTCTTTCTTTTGTTTTTGTTTGTCCCTAGCTTCTGGACATCTGATGATCTATTGGACACAGACATTTGCAGAACAAGAACCAGCCAATGAAAAATCGTCTATTGCCGATGCTATTGCTACAACCAGAACCACAACTGTGACCAAATGCAATATACATGTAAAGTATTCAGACATCTGACAGACAAAAACTTTGACTTTTTAGTCTGGGAGACTGAGCAACTGTTAAAATGTTTTAAAATGATAAAGTATGGGTATTGTAGCGTTTTAGTAGATGTTAAAAGTGACAGAAGTCACAAATTAGAAATATGCCTTGGCTCAAGCTGCAACCGAGCTTTGGAGTCACAATAGTGTAGAAATAGAAATAGATAAATGCATCAACCATAGATGCTTTCTAAAATAGAGAATATTTCTAGCCAGTGTTAATATCAAATGGTAAAGGGACCATTTCCTTCAAAATATGTTCACAAACCTTTACTTCAAAAGTAGATAAAGTTACTTACAGTTTTATGTACAGTTTTATTAGATACTTGTCAAAATTCACTTGTGTTCAAACATCTGTGAATGTTGACAATGCAAAAAGTTCATGAGTATAGCCTAGATTAATGCCTAGATCAATGAGATAGATTAGAACCAACAGAGATTCAAAAGCATCTTTGAGAAGTTAAAAGCTGTTGATTCACCAGCACAGATTAGAGAATCAAACACCATTGTATAACCAACCCCAAACCTGCTAAAATAGATTAGCTCTTGTAAGGATAATACTAATTTGATTATTGATGTACATTCATCCCAAACTGCCTGAGAGGAGGAAGTGACATCACTTCCTGGTTCAACAAATGTATTTGGAAAACTGACCGCCATAATAATGTTCATATTAACCATTTGTCTTTCTGTGTTCACAGTTTTATTCCTGAGAATGTAGAGTAGACATGGAGCAAAATCCCACTGACAATAAGCCACTGATAATGAAAGTACAGTATACAGAGATTTATTAGATTAAAATGTATGTTTAAGAATATGGCTCAATAAAAGAATAATATGCAAACATATTTGTAAATAGATTAGAATAGTTTTAAACTATAGTGAATAGTAAAAGTAAAGTACACAGTCTGAGATTGAAAAGTGAAAATAATACAGTGAAATAAGTGAAGTGTAAACAATCAGCATTAGAATAAAAGTATAGAGTAAGAAAAGTGAAATTAGCTTCTAATTTGAGACTCAGCTCGTTTTTGTCTGTGTTTTGACTGAATCTGCTGAGTTCTACTGTGTCCAATAGTGTTTTTAGGCCCGAGCCCCGAACGGGGTAAGGGCCTATTGCTTTCACAATGGTGAAAACAAATGGTGGCGGTGCGTGACGGACGCGTCAGCGCCCGTCACTCACCAAAACGAGACGGTTGCGTGCGTAAACTCAAAAGTTTTAAAATGATGTATCACGTGCCATTAAAACCTATATTGTTTTTGCTCGAGACGTCGAAAAAAAAATTCCTTTTTTATTTATTTATTTATTTATTAGGCCCGAGCCCCGAACGGGGTAAGGGCCTATTGCTTTCACAATGGTGAAAACAAATGGTGGCGGTGCGTGACGGACGCGTCAGCGCCCGTCACTCACCAAAACATGACAGTTGCGTGCGTAAACTCAAAAGCTTTAAAATGATGAATCACATGCCATTGAAACCTATATTGTTTTTGCTCGAGACAAGTCACAAAAAATTCCTTTTTTATTTATTAGGCCCGAGCCCCGAACGGGGTAAGGGCCTATTGCTTTCACAATGGTGAAAACAAATGGTGGCGGTGCGTGACGGACGCGTCAGCGCCCGTCACTCACCAAAACGAGACGGTTGCGTGCGTAAACTCAAAAGTTTTAAAATGATGTATCACGTGCCATTGAAACCTATATTGTTTTTGCTCGAGACGTTAACAAAAAAATTCCTTTTTTATTTTTATTAGGCCCGAGCCCCGAACGGGGTAAGGGCCTATTGCTTTCACAATGGTGAAAACAAATGGTGGCGGTGCGTGACGGACGCGTCAGCGCCCGTCACTCACCAAAACGTGACGGTTGCGTGCGTAAACTCAAAAGCTTTAAAATGATGTATCACGTGCCATTGAAACCTATATTGTTTTTGCTCGAGACGTCGAAAAAAAAATTCCTTTTTTATTAGGCCCGAGCCCCGAACGGGGTAAGGGCCTATTGCTTTCACAATGGTGAAAACAAATGGTGGCGGTGCGTGACGGACGCGTCAGCGCCCGTCACTCACCAAAACGTGACGGTTGCGTGCGTAAACTCAAAAGCTTTAAAATGATGTATCACGTGCCATTGAAACCTATATTGTTTTTGCTCGAGACGTTAAAAAAAAAATTCCTTTTTTTTATTTATTTATTTTCTTTCTTTCTTTTTTCTTCTGCACTTTGAGCCTTAATTTGACCCCCTGAACATGCATGAAAAGTTGTTAATTTTGGCCCAAAAATCAGACCTGGCGAAAAATTTGATATTTTGGTGTTTATTTTTATGGGACTCAAAAAATGACAGAACAGCGCCACCTACAACAGCCAAAATAATACCCCTATGGGACTTTTCGGAGGTCAAGTTTGTCGTAGAAACATGAAATTTGGTACACATGTTCCTCAAGTCAAGACAAGAAAAAAATATTATTATGGCCCCGCCCTCTGACAAACAGGAAGCCCATAAATTTCACTGCAAAATGGAAAAATGAACAGCAAAAGTTTTCATACATGTCGGTTGGAAAGCGACTCCTCCTCGGCCGTTTCACCGATTTGCCTCAAAATCGCTCCACATCATCTCAACACATGTACCTTCAAAATGACCTCAGGGATTTTTGATCAGTGAAACATTGTTTGAGCAGCGGAGCGGCAAAATGTGACCTTTTTTTGGCCGTTTTTGACAACATTAAATTTGCTCCCGTTTGCACAAACAAAGTCTGATTTGCACAAAACTTTAATACATTGTTCAACTCTAGGGTCTAGGTCATTTGAAAGTGAAATGATTCAAATTGACACATTAGCGCCCCCTACAGACTATTTCAAAGTTTTAATGGGCATTTTCAAATTTAGTTTTTTCAAAATTTTTGAAATTTTGCACATACATCTGTTTTGCCCTTTTGATTCAAAAAGTCAATTGGGTCCAAGGCTTATTTTTTACCCTGTTGCCGTGGCGACGACAAACGCTCCCCATTCATTGCAAATGTACACCTCACACAAACATCAAACCAGCCTCGGCCGTTTCACCGATTCGCCTCAAAATCGCTCCACATCATCTCAACACATGTACCATCAAAATTACTTCAGGGAATTTTGATCAGTGAAACGTTGTTTGAGCAGCGCAGCGGCAAAAAGTGAGGGTTTTTTTGGCCGTTTTTGACAACATTATTTTTTCCCGTTTGCACAAACAAAGTCTGATTTGCATTAAACTTGAATCCATTGTTCAACTCCAGGGTTTAGGTCAGGTGAATGTGAATTTTTTTTAATTGGCCCATTAGCGCCCCCTACAGACTGAAGCAAAGTTTACATGGGGAGCCATACCAGCTCTACTTATAATATTCATTACAATTTGACTAGCATTCTTCTATGACTACGGGAACAAGTCATCACACGGCGGTGCCACCTCCTTTGCGCTGTGCTGCGTGGTACGGTGTGGTGCAGCGTAGTGCGGGGCGTTGTGGAGCGGCGCGTTGCGGCTTTGTGTGATGCGGGACTGCGTGGTGGGCGGGGTGCGGGGCGTGGTGCGGGGCGGCTGGTGCGGGCGGCTGGGCGGGGGTGCGCGCGGTGCGGGGGAGTGCGCGCGGTGCGGGGAGTCGCGCGGTGCGGCGAGGGCCGTTCGACGCCGCTTGCGGCTTTAATTTATTTCTTTCTTTCTTTCTTTCTTTTTTCTTCTGCACTTTGAGCCTTAATTTGACCCCCTGAACATGCATGAAAAGTTGTTAATTTTGGCCCAAAAATCAGACCTGGTGAAAAATTTGATATTTTGGTGTTTATTTTTATGGGACTCAAAAAATGACAGAACAGCGCCACCTACAACAGCCAAAATAATACCCCTATGGGACTTTTCGGAGGTCAAGTTTGTCGTAGAAACATGAAATTTGGTACACATGTTCCTCAAGTCAAGACAAGAAAAAAATATTATTATGGCCCCGCCCTCTGACAAACAGGAAGCCCATAAATCTCACTGCAAAATGGAAAAATGAACAG